GGAGGTTGCGGTGAGCCGAGATCGCGCCATTGCACTCCAGCCTGGGTAACAAGAGCGAAACTCCATCTTCAAAAAAAAAAAAAAAAAAACAAAAAACGAAAATGAAAAATGAAGAATTCTTTCTTATAAGGCTTCCAAGTGCTTTTGAGAATCTGACTGAAGTTCTGGGCCCTGTCCCTAGAAATAACGTTTCGAAAATAAAGGGCTTTTGCATTCATTTTCGGGGGATTCACAAATGAGATGAGCTTGTCCAAAACAGAAACCTGGTACAAATAATTAAGAAATCCCCTTTTCTTAGAAAGTCTGTTTTAGAACAGGGGACAAGTCCACTTACTTCATAGATTTTCGTTGATGGATCGAACTTCGCTGCCTGAGAGACGGGAGCGCGACGTCCCAGTGAAGGCAGAAACTGAAGAAAGGAAATGAGTGTGTGAAATGCTGCCCGAATGGAATCTAGACCCACAGGGCAGAGGCACTCAGATCGGGGGTTGCTGCTGTCATGTCTGCATCTTTGCCTGGATACCAGGAAAGTTGACACACTGGATTCAGAGGCTCCCTTCTGAGGTAACAGCAAGTACAGTTGCCGGCATCTCTGTATACCTCGTCAGCCCTGAGCACACAAAACTACTACTCACCATCCTAAATGGATTTTCAAAGGACTCCATGATGTTCTGGGCTTTTTTCTGTGCAACTGTCAACGGACCCTTCTTATTGTCTTCAGCACTAGGTTCCTGCAGAGACAGACAAAAAAATGATCACTAATAACCACGATCATCTGTGACATCAAGATGCAAGCAAGAGAGCAACAGTTAACAGTGATTTTCCTTTTCCTTTTTTCTTTTTTTTTTTTTTTTGAGTATTCATGAAAGAAAACAAGGAGAATATTTTTGTCTAATAATATGCTTCCTTGTGCATGAAGATGAAACTAATAATAATATTTTTTTGAGACAGAGTCTCCCTCTGTTGCCCAGGCTGGAGTGCAGTGGCACGATCTCAGCTTAATGAACCCTCCACTTCCTGGGTTCAAGCGATTCTGCTGCCTCAGCCTCCCGAGTAGCTGGGATTACAGGCACATGCAACCATGCCTGTCTAATTTTTGTGTTTTTAGTAGAGATGGAGTTTCACCATATTGGCCAGGCTGGTCTTGAACTCTTGACCTCAAGTGATCCACCTGCCTCGGCATCCCAAAGTGCTGAGGTTAAGGTATGAGCCACCACACTCAGCCAGTAACAGTTATTAACACCAATGGCTAAGGCTAATTTTCATACATTCTCCTCCGTATAGGGTGCCGTGCCTGCAACAGCACACAGTAGCGTTTCATTATCAACGTGCTGGATCACTGAATTCTCACCATGTCCTCACTGCCTATGAGGTGGTATCACTCTCACCACCTTACAGAGGAGGAACCTGAGGGCTACAGAGGTTGTGACAGTCTTCCGGAGGCTGGCAGTGAACACGAGCAGAACAGGGATTTAAACTCAGCATGGTCTGGCTCTAGAATTTGAGGTCTTATTTGATGTCTGAATTTTATTTTATTGATTGACTGACTGAGACGGAGTCTCATTCTGTCACCCAGGTTGGAGTGCAGTGGCATGATCATGGCTTACTGCAACCTCTGCCTACCGGGTTCAAGTGATTGTCCTGCCTCAGCCTCCTGAGTAGCCGGGATTACAAGCATGAGGAAAAATGCCTGGCTAATTTTTGTATTTTTAGTAGAGATGGGGTTTCACCATGTTGGCCAGAAGGGTCTCAAACTCCTGACCCCAGGCGATCTGCCAGCCTTGCCCTCCCAAAGTGCTGGGATTACAGGTGTAAGCCACTGTGCACAGTCTGAAATTTAATATTTCATATATTTATAGGGAATCATTGAAACTATGCAACAAAATGCTGCTTCCAGATGGGTTCATAAATATGAGCTATCCTTTTACTTCATTTGTAATTATGCCCCTTGCCACACAGAGTGCAAGGAGCCCACAGCCTCCTTTACACCACACAGCACTTCTGTGTCAAAGCAGCCCAGAGTTCACACTAACACTTTTAGCTGATAAATCACCTTCATGACTCAAATTAGCTCTGAGGTTGACTAAAGCGCCTAGAATTTTCTCATTAATTGCTGAAGCAAGGTCCAATCTAGATTTATGTAATTAAGTTAAAAACGAAAGTGAAGTCTGGGCGACATGGTGAAACCCCATCTCTACAAAACATACAAAAAGTAGCTGGGCATGGCACACGCCTGTAGTCCCAGCTACTCGGGAGAAGGCTGAGGCAGAAGGATTGCTTGAGCCGGGGAGGCAGAGGTTGCAGTGAGCCAAGATGGTGCCGCTGCACTGCCACCTGGGTGACAGAGTAAAATCCTGTCTCAAAAACAAAACAAAACAAAACAGTGAAATAACTGGGTATAATGACTCATGCCTGTAATCCCAGTTACTCGGGAGGCTGAGGCAGGAGGAACGTTTGAGCCTCAGAGGTCAAAGATGCAGTGAGCCGTGACTGTGCCACCAGATTCCAGCCTGGGCAGCGGAGCGAGACAGTCTCAAAAAACAAAAAAAATGTTTCTCTTCTTCACTGAAAGCACACACACATGGTGCTGGGGTCAGGCAGGAAGCTACAGGCAGCGCACATTCTACAGTTCACCAGACAGCACACCCACGCCACCCCTGCTGGGCATCCGGGTGAGCCGTTCTTCCCCTGCCCCTGCTGCAGCCGTGTCTGGAAAGCCCTGCTTGTATGTTCTCTGCACAGGCCCTCCTCCCACTAGGTGCTGTTCAACACCGGGACGTCAGCCTTTCCTTGAAGATTTCTTCAAACACAGAGCTCAAGAATCCTCCATCCATGTCCCGAGACCACCTCCTCCAGAGTGCTAAGTGCCCCTTACTCATCTGTCTCCATGCCTCTCCCACCACTACTGGGTTTTGCTCTCAGCATTAGTCTTCAAGTGGACACAACCCTCCAGGCAGACAGCCTGCTGGATAAATCCAGTAAATCCTAAGGGGTGCTACTCACATTAAATAATGTGATGACAGCTGTGGCAATCAGGCATGTGGTACCCAGCAAGTTATCTTCTTTTTCATCAGGGAAGAGGTTCGCCTGGTTCTGAACTGGCGCAGATCCTAGAGGAGCAGAAGTTAATAAGGTCAAGGCCTACAGAATTTTAATTAATTAATTAATTAATTTTGTTTTATTTTTTCTTTTTGAGACGGAGTTTCGCTCTAGTCACCCAGGCTGGAGTGCAATGGCACAATCTTGGCGCCCTGCAACCTCCATCTTCCAGGTTCAAGAGATTCTCCTGCCTCAGCCTGTGGAATAGCAGAGATTATAGGCACCCGCCACCACACCCAGCTATTTTTGTATTTTTAGTAGAGATGGGGTTTCACTATGTTGGCCAGGCTGGTCTTGAACTCCTGACCTCAGGTGATACACCAGCCTTGGCCTCCCAATGTGTTGGGATTACAGGCCTCAGTCACTACACCCAGCCAAGCCTACAGAATTTTAGACCATGGCAGGTGTGTCCCAACCTCTTCGGGACAGTCAGAAGGGTTCTCGACTTTACCATTGGTTGGGATGATTGGATAGCCATCCGGAGGGGCATGGGAGCAGTCGTGAGGTCCAAAGAGAACATTCTCCAATCTCTGCATAAAAAAGACACCAGCAGGCTGGCCTGTAAAATGTGCAAGCCGGCAGTAGCTTCCCGCCAGCTGTCAGCACAGGCCTCTGGCAGAGGTGTACTTGAACTGGCTGCAACTGATGTCTTTCCTCCCGGGGCAGACAGCGGATCCGACACTCTACCTCAGCACTGGGCAGTGGTGCGCTCTTCTTCCCTCCGGCTGCAACTTCAGACTAAGGGTAAAAACAAAGGGAACTGAGGAAAGTTGCCTAAACGCCTCAGGTCCAACGCCCAGCCCCCAACCCTGCGTTCCTTCACCAGACTGTTTCTTAAGAGCCCAGAGATTTTCTTTCCTTCCTTCACTCCTTGCAGTGCCTGGCAGGAGAATTATTTGGTGCTCAATAATTATGTGTAGGGTGAAAGAATAAAGCTCTTGATCGTGACTAAGCACAACAGGAAGGGTGCCAAAGGGCTTGAAAAAGACTCTTCTCTAGTAACCAGGGTCTCCCTTTACTTGGACAAAATACAGGGCTTACAAAGACATTTTTTTTTTTTTTGAAATAGAGCTTCACTCGTCACCCAGGCTGGAAGGCAGTAGCGTGATCTCGGCTCACTGCAGCTGCTGCCTCCCAGGTTCAAGCAATTGTCCTGCCTCAGTTTCTCAAGTAGGTGGGACTACAGGTGCACACCATCATACCCAGCTAATTTCTGTAATTTTATAGAGAGGGTTTTACCATGTTGGCCAGGATGGTCTCGATTTCCTGACCTTGTGATCCGCCCGCTTCGGCCCCTCAAAGTGCTGGGATTACAGGCCCGAGCCTTGGCGCCTAACCACAAAGACATTTTTAACATAAAAATTGCAAATGTAGGGCTGGTAGGTGGCTCACAACTGTAATCCCAGCACTTTGGGAGGCCGAGGTAGGAGGACTGCTTAAGCCCAAGAGGTCAAGACAGTCTGGGAAACACTGCAAGACCCATCTCTACAAAAAATTTCATCACTTGAGGTCAAGAGATGGAGATCATCCTGGACAACATGGTGAAACCCCATCTCTACTAAAAATACAGAAATTTGCCTGGCATAGTGGCGCATGCCTGTAGTCCCAGCTACTTGGGACGTTAAGGCAGAAGAATCGCTTGAATTCGGGAGGTGGAGGTTGCAGTGAGCCAGGTCACACCACTGCACTCCAGCCTGGTGACAGAGTGAGACTCCATTTCAAAAAAAAAAAAAAGAATGGAGAACAGCTTATGTATTTACAATGCCACAAGGAATAAGATGCTGACACAAAGAACAGGCCTGCTAAGGCTGGGCACAGTGGCTTGCGCCTGTTAATTGCAGCCTTTTGGCAGGCTGAGGTGGGTGGATCACCTGAGGTCAGGAGCTTGAGACCAGCCTGACCAACATGGTGAAACCCCGCCTCTACCGAAAATAAAAAATTAGCCAGGAGTGGCGGTGCATGCCTGTAATCCCAGCTACTTGGGAGGCTGGGGCAGGAGAGTTGCTTGAATCTGGGAGGCAGAGGTTGCAGTGAGCCAAGATTGCACCATTACACTCCAGCCTGGGCAACAAGAGCAAAACTCCATCTAAGAAAAAAAAAATGCTGGGTGTGGTGGCGTGTGCCTGTAATCCCAGCTACTCGGGAGGCTGAGCCAGGAGAATCGCTTGAACCTGGGAGACGGAAGTTGCAGTAAACCAAGATCGCGCCATTGCACTTCAGCCTGAGTGACAAGAGTGAGACTCCGTCTCCAAAAGAAAAAAAAAAAAAAGAACAGGCCTGCTAAATTGGGAATCTTTAGTAGAAAAGCTTTTTCTTTTTTTGAGACAGTCTCCCTCTGTCACTGCATGATCTCAGCTCACTGCAACCTTCACCTCTTCCAGTGATTCTCCCACCTCAGCCTCTGGAGTAGCTGGGATCACAGGCATGCACCCCATGCCCAGCTAATTTTTTGTATTTTTAGTAGAGATGGGGTTTTACCAAGTTGGCCAGGCTGGTCTCGATCTCTTGACCTCATGATCCACCCGCCTTGGCCTCCCAAAATGCGGGGATCACAGGCGTGAGCCATCATGCCCAGCCGCAGAACAGCTTCTTACCTTGAGCAGGGGCATCTCTCGAGCCTGCTGGATTAAAAGGTGCATTTCGTTGATCTGCTGCCGCACAAGGGGTGGTACTGGGTTGCAGCATGCGATGATGCCCTGAGGTTCCCTGCAGACAAGTAGAAACACATACTCAACTTGTCACTCAGAAATGCAGCCCTCAAAGGCTTCCAGGTAAGAATAATGACTGGGTAAAGCCATGGTGCCACGCTTAAGCTGAAGCTACAGCTTGGTGACTAAGCAAACACTGATATCAGGACAGCCAAGGCCAACTTCTCCATGTGTTCTTTGCAACACCAAGCTTTAAGTGGATTCCTCTTAAAGCCTGACTCCTACAGTCAGGGAGAGCTGGAAGTAAGTACCACAGCACTATGGATTCTCAATTCTGCAGGGGGGCAACCAACAGACTGTGGATTTTGATTCTTGCTTATTCTTCAATCAATATCACAAAACATTTAAGATCATGAGATGCTTTAATTTGGAAGAAAGTATACATGAGAGCCGGGCGCGGTGGCTCACGCCTGTAATCCCAGCACTTTGGGAGGCCGAGTCGGGTGGATCACGAGGTCAAGAGATCGAGACCATCCTGGTCAAAATGGTGAAGCCCCGTCTCTACTTAAAATACAAAAAATTAGCTGGGCATGGTGGCGCGTGCCTGTAATCCCAGCTGCTCAGGAGGCTGAGGCAGGAGAATTGCCTGAACCCAGGAGGCGGAGGTTGCGGTGAGCCGAGATTGAGCCATTGCACTCCAGCCTGGGTAACAAGAGCGAAACTCTGTCTCAAAAAAAAAAAAAAGAAAGTATACATGAGAAAATCTGGGACATTTTCTTTCCTTGCAAGTAGATGCTATAAGGCTCGGGGACTTAGATGAACTCAAACTAAGGCATAATCATTGAGATTATTCCAGTTCAGAAGTTTTAGCTCTTAAATGGCAGACTGAGGGCAGAAATTCTGGATTCCTTGGACTTGCTACCTTCCAAGCTTAGAGTATTAATCTCTGAGTAAACAACGTTGGGTAACAACAACCAGAAAACTTGATTTTGAAGAACATGAGATCTACTGAGAAAGTTGAAACACATTAATCAGCTCGCAGACTCACTTAGGCAGCTCTTCAGCTATCTTCAGCATCATATGGTTTGGCAGTACATATCTGAAAAACACACACACATTCGGGACATATTATGTTCAGCCAGTGAGTTCCATTAGATGCTGTCCTACAGGGGAAATAACCAGCTTTCATGGCAAAAGAAAAAAAAGAGCCCATTATTTACTTGCTATTAGATGTGCTCAGTCTGGAAGCAGGCATCAAAAGAAGTTCTAATTCCTTACCCGTAACTTTCATCTTCCCTGCGAGCTGTTTTATCCCTCCAGGCAAACAGCAGCTGAAAGGCTGTCAACTGCTGTGTGTTAAGGTGCTTCTTTTGCTTCCTATAGAGTTCGAGGTAGGACTCATCCGTGAAGATAGGTTTGATGAATTTCTACCAAGTATTAGAGAATATTCAAAATCAATGGGAATCAAAATTGTGCCCTGGGCTCTGCAAAACGTTTGGCTCTTTTCATGAATGTAAGGAGCAAACCTAAGAACTGGAACCTCGCCAGACACAGAGCCTGAAAGTGTCGCAGTCTGTGTGACTGCGGTGAAGGCGTACCTTGAGGCAGATGTCCCTGCTCCGCTGCCACACCACCTGCAGCTGCATGGGCTGGCCATTGCCGCGCTCCCACAGCTCCAGCCTCATTTTGTCATAGATGTACAGCAAGTAATGGGTGTCATCCCGGGCGTAGCTGAGCATTTCCTCAGGCAGAGGGCTAGAATCGCAGAGGACACTGTTTCACCGACTGCCCCCAAGGACAGCAATTCAATTTGTCCACTCCGTGGGTGTGGGACCTCCTTAGACCCTTCTGATATGAAAGATCCTTTCATAGCCAATATTGTAGTTCTGCCAACACTTCCTGCATTTTAACATGCTAAGCCATTATTTTAATAGCTGGGTAGAGGGAGGTAGGGTAATACGATGGTTAAAATAAGGGCACTGTCAGCTACTCTGGATACACACAAGGAGCGGCAGAAAAGGGGACACTGTACTCCTGAGTTCAAATTTCAGCTCCAGCTGTCTGTCCTTAGAAAAGTTCCTTAACCTCTTTGGGCTTACCCAGCTAACTTGTGAAATGGGAACCAGGTACTTCACAGGCTGTTGTGAGAGCCGCTCAGGACCACATCCTTGAAGCACTTAGCCCAGTGCTTGGCACAGGGTAAGGGCTCCATAACAGGGAGTGGGTTTTTAGATTTTATCAATTTTTACCTTTTATTTGGACTTTATCAGTCCTGATGTAATTTTATTTTTATAGAGATTCTGGCATTCTGGCATGTGGAATTCCTGGAAAAGTTCAGTGGCACCTTCCTATGACATCTGCAGCCTCGGGGAGACAGCAAACAAGTGGAAAATGACCAAGCTAAGCAAGGCCTGCAGGAAATGGGGCAAAACTGCTGCCTTATGCCACAAAAAACATTCATTATAAAGCTAAACCAACAGTGTCCCTTGGAATTCTTCCCCACCTACAGAAGATCTTATACACATACACACACACACACTCACTCACTCACTCATCCCTACTAGGGAGATCTGAGTTTCAAACAAGAGACCAGCATGGACAAATACTGATGTGGCACCTCTTTTTCAGCCACTATTTCCATGAAACACAGTGTAACTGAATCAGTCCATCATAAAGTCCACATTATCATTAAAGAATTTCCGCACTTTGGGAGGCCAAGGCGGGCAGATCATGAGGTCAGGAGATCGAGACCATCCTGGTCATGGTGAAACCCCATCTCTACCAACATACAAAAAATTGGCCAGGCGTGGTGGCACACACCTGCAGTCCCAGCTACTCAGGGGGCTGAGAAAGGGGAATCCGTTGAATCTGGGAGATGGAGGCTGCAGTGAGCCGAGATTGTGCCACTGCACTCAAGCTTGGTAAAAGAGCAAGACACTGTCTCAGAAAAAAAAAAAAGAATTTTCTACCACTTTTATGCTGCTGAAGATGACTGGCAAAAAGCCTGATGCCATTCATTTCAATGAATATGGTATGGCCCTAACCCAGGTCTCTCTGAACGACAGGTTAATGAATAATCACACCTTCTTCTGTCACCCACATTTCCTCATTAAGAGCAAACTGACCGTATTCTCCAATCAGCCAGCTGATACTGCTTGTTTGATTCCACGTTGCAGTAGAGTTTCAGGAGATGATCTAGTGAGTGCCTGCCCAGGTTAAGAAGGCGTGCTGCCTGATGCGTATCAAACATGTTTACTACATACAACCCAAAGTCTTTCTGTAGCCATTCTATGTCTGAATCGGCACCATGGAAGACCTGAAAACAGAACCAAAGTCATGCAGTACACTGGTATCAGGCCACTCAGGCTCTGAAATTAACTCTGCCTCTAGTTTATCAGAACACTGAAATTAGACAGTAATATTTGTTGTCCAGTCTGTAGTGCATTGGTGTGATCTTGCCTCACTGCAACCTCCGCCTCCCGTGCTCAAGCAATCCTCCCATCTCAGCCTTCCAAGTAGCTGGCACTACAGGTGTGCCACAATGCCCAGCTAACTTTGAATTTTTTTGTAGAGACGGGGTTTCACTATGTTCCTCAGGCTGGTCTCAATCTCCTGGGCTCAAGTGATCCTCCTGCCTCAGCTTCCCAAAGTGCATGGATTACAGGCCTGAGCCACCTCGCCTGGCTGAAGCCAATATTCTAATCAAGATTAGATATATGCAGCCAGGCATGGTGGCTCACACCTGTAATCCCACCACTTTGGGCCAATGCAGGTGGATTGCTTGAGGTCAGGAGTTTGAGACCAGCCTGATCAACATGGTGAAACCCCGTCTCTACTAAAAATACAGAAATTAGCCAGGTGGGGTGGCAGGCGCGGCAATCTCAGCTACTCAGGAGGCTGAGGCAGGAGAATCGCTTGAACCCAGGAGGCGGAGGTTGCAGTGAGCTGAGATAGCACCATTGCACTCCAGCCTGGAGGACAAGACTGAAACTCCATCTCAAAAAAAAAAAAAATAGAAATATGCAGTTTTAAATGTTTCTTTTGTCTTCAGTCACAGCTTTCTACACTCCAAATTCCATATTCTTAAAGTCTGAAACTGTTCTCAACCAATGAGACGCGTGAAAGCAGCTCTAGCAGCTCTAGCAGCTTCAGTAAGGCCATGAAGTCCAAACAACCTTGACAGCTGGCGTTCACTGCAGTAGTCATGAAAATGATTTAACATTTTTCTGGGTGGTATCAAGCTAAGTCTTAGCTGTTCTAACAGGGATTTAGAAACAAAAGCCATTTAGCATGGTATCTTTGTTAGGAAATGACATGATTCCTCCCAACTTTACTGGGTCTAGGTTAAAATAATGAAATAGTAGACTAAAAAGCACTAAAATTCTTGTATGAGCTCACAGGCATGAGCTACAAAAGGCTTGCTGACCTTAACGATAGCTGGGTCTGTGAGGCTCTCATTGAGAATGTACATGTCACTTCGAAGCTCGAGGGTGTCAATGATGAAGTCTTCTGTCCGAGTGGAAATTTGCATCAGGCAGGTCAGTCCCAGGAAGCTCCTATAAGAGTGGTGCTAAACCACACAGAAGGAGGGGAGAATAGAAAAAAACAAAGATTTTATTAGACTTTCCTTTATTAATTTTGAAAAGTCAGCTATAGGCCGGGGATGGTGGCTTGTGGCTCATGGCTGTAATCCCAGCACTTTGGGAGCCCAAGGTGGGTGGATCGCCTGAGGCCAGGAGTTTGAGACCAGCCTGGCCAACATGGTGAAACCCCATCTCTACTAAAAATACAAAAAATTAGCTGGGTGTGGTGGCTGGCATGTATAATCCCAGCTACTTGGGAGGCTGAGGCAGGAAGAATCACTTGAACCCGGGAGGTGAAGGTTACAGTGAGCTGAGATTCCCACCATTGCCTTCTAGCCTGGGCAACAGAGCAAGACTCCATCTCAAAAAAAAAAAAAAAGTCAGCTACAAAGCTAAGTTATATGATTAATTTTTTACTAAAAAATAGATTAAAACTAGCACCAATTTTATACTTCTTCAATAGATAAACTCCCAGAAAATGTAAAAATTTCACCCAGGGTCATATACAAGATACCTCTAAGTCGACTGCAAATTCCTGACAATTCAAGAGCTTTTCGTTGAGTTCCACAAGTTCATCCAGGGAGGATATGAAATGGCACGGTGTCTCTTCTATTGGTCTGTATAACTGGATCAAGAGAAAAGTGAGAAAAAGGGAGGAATATAGAAATTACCCCCCAGGAAAGTACAAAGTGAACTATGAGTTGAGAAATAACCTAAAACTGGAACCTTCTACCTTAAAGATATTCAAGAAAGTCAAAATTGCATCAGTGACTCTACTTACTTCATTCCTCCTGGGCTACTGCACACCACCCTTACGCTAAGGCTGGGTACTAACCTGAGGTTGTGGCTTTTGAAGCACTGAATCTGGTGGAGTAAAGTGATTTAGTTCATATTGATAAGGATGTGCAAACCTGAATAAATTAAACAAAAAGAGAAATCATTCTGATTAATTCCATAATTCAAAGGAAAAACAAAGGCTCTTATCCAATCTGTAAAAACAAATAAGTCCACTGCGAAAATATCTTCCCTGTATAAAGAGCATTATTATTTCAGCAATTCGAGTACAAATCATAAATCAGGTGATATTTGCTCACCCTTAAAACATGATAATTAAGTCTTTTCATTTCTTTAGAGAGCTGCAGACCCAGGCAGCTTTATGAAGATTTGAGTACTTATTTGCAAAGTACTGTACAGTTGATGTTGGGATAACACCAAAATGAGAACTATACCATTCCTGTGGTTTGGAATAATAAATCTGTAAAGTCAGGATGAAGCAAATGTTTCAGCTGGCCAAGAGCTTAATGTTCTGTTTTCTTCTGATCGTAAGAAATCTGTATAAACATCCTCGCCCTGTGAGGCGTTGAGGATCTCTGTGGCCCAAGGAGTGCCGGGCTGCCTTTCATGACCTTTATTTCTCAGCACTTAGCTTGTGGCTTCACAATGCAAAGCTGGGGCTAAAGGCATGAATGCCCAGACAGACTTTGGCGCTATGTGAGGAAAAGGCCAATACTAGCAAAATTTTTATCACCTTTTTCATTATACTAAAGGCAAAGTCCATTTGTCTATTTTAAGTGAAGATTTTCCAAGATGCTTATATTGCCAGGCAAAAATAAAATGCCTTTTCCGCCAGGCATGGTGGCTCACACCTGTAATCCTGCACTTTGGGAAGCCAAGGCGGGTGGATCCCCTCTGGTTAGGAGTTCGAGACCAGCTTGGCCAACATGATGAACCCCGTCTCTACTAAAAATATAAAAAACTAGCTGGGCATGGTGGTGTACGCCTGTAATCCCAGCTACTCAGGAGGCTGAGGCAGGAGAATCACTTGAACCCAGGAGGTGGAGGTTGCAGTGAGCCGAGATCGTGCCATTGCACTCCAGCCTGGGCAACAAGAGCGAAACTCTGTCTCAAACAAAAAAAAAAACCACACATGGGCTAGCTCTGGCCAGGTGCAATGGCTCATGCCTGTAATCCCAACACTTTGGGAGAGCAGGTTGGGAGGTTTGCTGAGGCCAGGAATTCAAGACTTCAAGACTAGCCTGGGCACACAGAAAATATAAAAGTTAGTTGTGCATGATGGCTCACACCTGTGGTCCCAGCTACTTGAAAGGGAGAGGTGGGAGGATGACTTGAGTCCAGGAGGTAAAGGCTGGAGTGTTGCGTTCATGCCACCACACTCCAGCCTGGGTGACAGAGCAAGATCCTATCTTAAAGAAGTTCCAACTCTGTGAGAAGTCACAATCTCTAATTTTGCTTTTTACATCTTTCTTTTTGAGACAAAGCTTCGCTCTCGTTGCCCAGGCTGGAGTGCAATGGTGCGATCTTGGCTCACTGCAACATCCGCCTCCTGAGTTAAGCCTCCCGGGTTTAAGCGAATTCTCCTGCCTCAGCATCCCAAGTAGCTGGAATTACAGGCATGCGCCACCATGCCTAGATAATTTTTGTATTTTTAGTAGAGATGGAGCTTCTCCATATTGGTCAGGCTGGTCTCAAACTCCTGACCTCAGGTGATCCGCCCACCTCAGCCTCCCAAAGTGCTGGGATTACAGGCATGAGCCACTGTGCCTGGCCTTAATTTATTTATTTAGAGATGGAGTCTCACTTTATCACCTAGGCTGGAGTGCAGTGGCGCCATCTTGGCTCACTGCAACCTCCGCCTTCTAGGTTCAACCGATTCTCCTGTCTCAGCCTCCCGAGTAGCTGGGATTACAGACATGCACCACCACGTCTGACTAATTTTTGTATTCTCAGTAGAGATGGGGTTTCACCATGTTGGCCAGGCTGGTTTAGAACTCCTGACCTCAGGTGATCCACCTGCCTCAACCTCCCAAAGTGCTGGGATTATAGGAATGAGCCACTGCGCCCAGACTTCACTTTTTACATCTATAATATGAGAATGAGAGCAACTGCTACTTCTCAGGACTGCAGTGAGGTTTCCATGAGGCAATGCTGTGCAGGCCCTTTGTGAATAGAAACATGATAAGCCCTGTCTCTACTTATTGCTAAGGCCCAGGGTGGGATAAAAAAGGAAATCACTGCTCCTCAGATTGTTTTCATGTATGCACTCCACAAAAGTGAAACTGTGAAAATGTGGCAAAAAGGTAAGCACTCACACAGAAAGGTCAGACATAGGCAAACACTTACATATCTTGCTCAACCTGCTGGGTTCTCTGCTGATAGATGAAATCAGCCAGTGCAGGGGGGACATCCAAGTCCTCAGGACGATCCTGTGGGCGTTCCCGTCTTTCCTTAGAGAGGGCTGAAGACCCAAGCAGTGACAAAAACAGCATCATAACAGAGATAAGCACATTTGTGTCTTTTCTTTTTTTTTCTTTTTTTTTTTTTTTTGAGACA